CTCTGTTGCCCAAGCTACAGTGCAGTGGCGTGATCTCGGCTCACTGCAACCTCTGCCTCCTAGGTGGAAGCGATTCTCCTGTCTCAGCCTCCCAAGTAGCTGGGATTACAGGCGCCCACCATCACACCTGGCTAATTTTTATACTTTTAATAGAGACAGGGTTTTGCCATTTGGGCCAGGCTGGTCTCGAACTTATGGCCTCAGATGATCCGCCTTGGCCTCCCAAAATGCTGGGATTATAGTTGTGAGCCACTGCACCTGGCCCTCTGTTCTTAAGTGGGCCTCATACATGCAAATAGTCACAGAAGTTAACCCCGATTATATGGTAAGCCCATTTTCCCAGGGAGCAGGGTTTCTTTTAAATTATGTAATCCATTTAGATGTAAAAGTCTCTAGAGTATAAGTGGACTCGTCAAATGCCTGCCTAATAAGTAACTTATTGAGGTAGTTATACGTTGATCTTTAAAGTTATGCATTATAAATATTCAAATTGAGGAATGTTGCCATTTTCTCTAATGTGTTATAAAATGGAGCCTTGTGAAATTGATGCTTTGAGGTCAACACTGAACATAAGTAGTTTTGTATGGTGCGACCTATGATTGCAGTGTTGGTCTCACTGGGTGGCTCCGCGCAGTAGGTCCCAGCGTGCAGCCAGCATCCTCCCAGATGCCCCCAACGCCAACAGGCGGGAGAAAAATACCTCCGCATGGTGGTGGGCACCTGCAATCCCAGCTATTTGGGAGGCTGAAGCAGGGGAATTGCTTGAATCTGGGAGGTAGAGGTTGCAGTGAGCCAAGATCGTGCCACTGCACTCCAGCCTGGTGACAGAGCGAGACTGTCTGAAAAAAAAAAAAAGTATAAAGGGGAGGGAGGGAGAACAGAACCACAGAGCAACACAGGTCCACTCCGTGGGAATCGAGGCCTCTGCTCAGCTCCGTTGACCTGGTTTTGGCAAACACACCGCCGCCTCGTGCTGCAAGGGCTGGAGATGCCAGCAGCCAGGGATGTGTCAAGTAACATTGTCAGCCACATGCCAGGGCGTGACTCTGGTATGCAAGAAAGGTTGTACTTTCTTTTACTTAATTCTAAGCCCCTACTCTCCAGGCTTATGGGAAATTCAACCCCAGTCATTACTGGGCTCTTCTCCATGTCCAAGACTGGGCAAAGGCCCAGAGCCTCACACAGCAGAAGGTGCTGGGGAGACCTGTGGTCATCAGGCCAGTCCTTCCTGGGGGCCACCAAGCCACACTGCTCACCATCTCAAAAAACTTCAGAGCCTGGAGCAGAGGTGGGCGGTGGAATGCAGCAACCATGAGTTAACGTTTCAGAAAGTGTCTTACCTCTTAGCCTCCCCTGGCTGCCGTCACCAAGTACCAAAGCCTGTGTGGCTTACATAGCAGACATGTATTCCTTACAGTTCTGGAGGTGGAGGGCCAAAATCAAGGTGCTAACGAATCTGGTGTCTGGTGAAGGCCCTCCTCATTTACAGACCACCGTGTCCTCTCAGGGTGGAGAGCACGTCAGCTCGGGTCCCTCCCTTCTTCTAAGCACACTGTTCCCAGCATGAGGCTCTGCCCTCATGATATTGAGCCCTCCTCACCTCCCAAAGGCCACACCTCTGCAGCTCCAGCAGCGTGCATTATGCAGGGCACACACGCATCCCATCACATCTTGAAACCATCTTCCGTCAGGCAGCCGCTCCTTCTGCCCTGAATGATTGCAAGCGCCTGGGCATGGCACATAGGGTCCTGCCCAGGGGCAGCCAGTGTGCGGCCGTCGTCCCAGCCCCCACGCCGAGCTTGTGTAGTTCATCAGACTGTCCTGTCTCCCACAGTGCTCGTCGACCTGCGGGAAGGGGCTGCAGTCCCGCGTGGTGCAGTGCATGCACAAGGTCACGGGGCGCCACGGCAGCGAGTGCCCCGCCCTTTCGAAGCCCGCCCCCTACAGACAGTGCTACCAGGAGGTCTGCAACGACAGAATCAACGCCAACACCATCACCTCCCCCCGCCTTGGTGAGTGTCTTGGCTGGCCCCAGTTCCCTGGGGCTGCTGTGTCCCCCACCCAGTGAGTCCTCCCTGATACTGAGGTTCCTTCAGTCAGAAAGCCCCCCTCTTGGGCCCCACTTGTCACATGAGGCTGACATTTGTCAGTTCTGTAGAAGAGAAGTTGAGAGATGGGATTCCATTCCTTGTTGTGAAAGTGGTGTCTGCATACTGCTTTCTCAAACACAGGACCCTAAGCGTCCCCCGCTCCCCTCTGCCCAACACAGGAGAATGTTCCGCAAACATCGTAGGTTTCCTGTGCATGAGGAATGTGAAGGGAAGTGCTGCTTTCTAGAAATGAAAGATCCAGGGGCATCTTTGATGGGGCCGTGAGGACGCACACATGGGCCACACCCTAGGCAGATGCTTGAGCAGCAGACAGGCATGGTGGAGGGGCTGGAGATTGAGTGGTTTGGCCCTGGGTGCTCGGAACCTGGCCTCTTAACAGTCCATGCCCCAGCACCTAATGATCTGGCTGAGGGCAGGGGCTCACGCCTGTAATCCTAGCACTTTGGGAGGCTGAGGCCGGTAGATCGCCTGAGGTCAGGAGTTCGAGACCAGCCTGACCAACATGGTGAAGCCCCGTCTCTACTAAAAAAATGAGAACTAGCCAGGCACGGTGGCTCACGCCTGTAATCACAGCTACTTGGGAGGCTGAGACTGGTGGATTACCTGAGATCAGGCGTTCGAGACCAGCCTGACCAACATGGTGAAGCCCCGTCTCTACTAAAAATACAAAAGTTAGGCAGCGTGATGGTACATGCCTGTAATCCCAGCTACTGAGGAGGCTGAGTCTGCAGAATCACTTGAACCCAGGAGGCAGAGGTTGCAGTGAGCCGAGATCGTGCCACTGCATTCCAGCCTGGGTGACAGAGCAAGACTCCTTCTCAAAAAAAAAAAAAAAAAAAAAAATGTCTGATGTGATGATTCCTTCTAGCAGAGTTTCTGCTTTGCTAAACTGAAATCCTGGAGAAATAAAGGGGATTTCTAGCGCCTTTGCTCCCGGGGTTGGGAACACCTTTGAGCTGGCAGAGGTGGAGCTGTGGCTTTTGCGAGCACAGGACTGCTTGGTAACTGCCAGAGCCCTCCCCGGCGCAGGGCCTTCTCTTGGTACCACCAAGACCCTGAAGGATATTTGGGCCACTTGTATGTACTTGGACCTTGTGCTTTTAGGGGTCCTTTGATGTCCACTGTTCCGTGTCGTCCTGTTTTATAAATGCTTACAGTAATGGTACCCTCGGCCACAAAACGGCAGTAAATGGCACTTGGCTCAGAAGCAAGGGGGCTTGTGCCCTCTTCCCTGAAGAGGCAGGCAAACCACCATGCCCTCTCATGTGGTTGGGTTATGGATGCAAGGGTGCATCCCTGTGACCGCAACTGGCACCCCTGTGCCCTGGCAGGAGACATGGCCTAATCAGTACACAGGGTTGATGTGTACACCAGGTGAGGGAGCCCAGTCGGACCACCAGCCCTCCCTGTGCCATCCCTGACCCCAGGTGTTCTCTCTCTACCGTTCCCTTAGCTGCTCTGACCTACAAATGCACGCGAGACCAATGGACCGTGTACTGCCGGGTCATCCGAGAAAAGAACCTCTGCCAGGACATGCGGTGGTACCAGCGCTGCTGCCAGACCTGCAGGGACTTTTACGCAAACAAGATGCGCCAGCCACTGCCGAGCTCGTGACGCGCAGCCCGGGGGTCGCTCAAAGCTCAGACTCAAGGTCTGAAGCCTGGTACCCAGAGCACGGAAAGCCCACCGTCCCCACCCCCCAGCGCACCAGCCCTGCGGCCACGCCTCCACAAGGCTGCCCCAAGAATCCAACCACCTAGAACATGAGCATGGACTTGACGTTTGCCATTAGTGCCTTGGTACTTAATATATTGTTAGCCACTGGATGGCTTTCTACAGCGAGGAAAAAATAGGTATGAGTCACAAAGTAACTTTGAGATTCCAGGTACCTCGAAGGGAAGCACCTCTGGCGGCCAGCCATGAAGAGAGAGACATTTGCTGCTCCTGTCTCGGCTTGCTTTTGACGTTGGAACTCCCAGTGCTTGGTGGATCATGGAGGAAACAGCCCAAAAATGAGACACGATAAAAGAGGCTTTATTCTGAAAGCCGGCGACACCCTGGAGGAAAGGGCAGGTGTTGGTGAGCCACTAACCAGTCCATGTTTCTCTTCATCTGCCTTCTTGACCACGTGAGAACCAGGACGTTGCCTCTGTGCCCAGCTCTGAAAACAGTCTCTAAACCCTGGGCGTTGTCTTGGAAGTCTCATCCCCGAGTGTGTAAATCTCTGCATGCCAATGAGGACACCAGTGCCACACAGTTCTCCACCCACCCATGGGGGAAGGACATCCAAGAGTGTCTGGGTTTGGGGAAGCACCTACTTTTCAGAGCACTGCTGTCCACCAAAGGGAAACAGAAGGCCCTTTCTTCAAGGTGCTGTGAAACGGGAAACGCTAGTCACGGCCATGGGGTTGCTTCCTAAGGCAAAGGTGAGCTTGGGCCACCCTTGTCGGGGCAGATGGGCACCTGCCCGCCTTCCTGGAGGTTCGGCTCTGGCCCACACTTCAAGCTTTGCACCTTAGAGATGCTGTGCCATGTCCCAAGGGCTTTCTACCAACCTTGGCCATTTATGTGAAGTTAGGACGACGTGTGGGACCTCTGAGGATGCAAGCCCAGGCTTAGGATCTGCAGAGCAAGGCTGACTGCTCTACCCTGGCGTGCAGCTCGCTTTCTCCGGGGGCCACTCAGCCTGATGTGCCGGGACCAGGAGAGGAGCGCCGTGTGGCCCGCCCTGCTGCACACCCACCAAGCCTTCCTGTGGCCCAGACTTTGTGGCACCCATCACCGTCACGGCTGTCATCGTTGACCCATCTTTTTGGTGGGGCAGGGACGATGCATGACGGAGATCCTGCCCTCCTTCAGCCCCCGCACGCCTTCTAGCTGAGCTCTGCCCTCTCCAGAAGCCCAGAGCAATAAGCAGGACAGCTTCTTTGAGAGCACAGAGGATGGTAGAACCCCACCTGCCCCCAGGAGGCCTGTTTTGCTCACTAACTTAGTGGGCATTTCATGGGTGCTTATGTTCTAGGAACTTCGCGTGAGAAACACCTCCATGATTTCAGACAGAAGGCCTCTCTGGGGTTAATTTCCATGGGATCATCTCCAAGTGCTTGATTTACTGGTGCTGTTTGTGTTTTTGCTGTTTGTTTGATGTCACAACCTTAGAGTTAGCTTAGAAAGAAAGCTCTCTGCCCTCTCCACCCCGTCGTCTGAGCTGTGCTGTTGTTGTTAGTTACTACCCCAGAGGCAGAGAAGCAGTAGGGACGTCAGAGAATCTACTCACTTCCACTTGAAGCAATGAGAAGTGCTGCCAGTGTTCCATGGGTCTGTGGAGAGAAATGAGTGTCAGGATGGAGTGACCCACCTCACCCCGGGGGCCTGTGCAAAACACTGTCCTCCCCCCTCAGGCCTGGCCACTAGCACACTCCCCCAAATCCCTCAAATTCTTGGGGAGCTGAGGTTCCATTTCCCTCATCCCCAAATGAACTGTTAATTCCACTGAAAGACAGACTTCTGCAGCCCAGGAGCAGAGCCGGGCTAGCTCACTAAGGAAGCCTTAGCCTGGTCTCCTGCCTGGTCTGGGGGGCCTCTAAATACACCCCCTGGCCACCCTGGCAAGGGCCTCACACCCTCAGAATGAAAAGGATTGATTGATGGATTGAGTTATTGTCAAACACCCCCATTAGCCCCCCAAAGTCTGCATCTTTGGAGCTCTTTTAGCTCATCTTGAAATCCACCAGCCCGTCTTCTGTTTATGGCACGAGCAGTGATCCCGTGAACCCATCGCGACATTCTTTCCCACTAGACGCTGATCACAGCAGTGAGGTTTCTGTATTGTTAATACCCTGTACCGCCCCTCAAGTACTGTACCTTTGTGCTTGCACACGTGTTACTAACTACAGTCTCACGATCCGATGGTGCTATTTTTATTGGTGCAAAACGAAACCCTCTCAGTTGACCACGGCTTGATGTGATCAGAACAGGAAAAGATCCTCTATGGCAACGCCATTGTTCTTTTCTCCGTTCAGAGTCAAATGTATGTATTTTCCATTAGTTAACTTGCATTACATACTGTACCCATGGTATTTTTGTTTTACTTTTTGGTGCTGGTTTTGAAAGAAAAAAAAAGATGAACATTGGACGCCATTATACATGAAAAATTAATCATATCATTGGAAGCAAGTTGAATATGTGTAATAAAATGTTTTTCCTTAATGGGTTTAAGCTGTCTGCGAAGTAAAAGACAAAGCCAGTCCTCACTGGCTGACTGGGAGGCAGTGTCCTTCCCCGCTGTGGCGGCCACCTGGCTTGCCGTGGAGGCCACCTGGCTTGCCGTGGAATTGGCTGCAGGGAGCCGCGGCCTGCTGGCCACATCTGGGGTTGGTGTCAGAGGTCACTGGGAAATGCAGTTCTGGGGGGTGACTGCGTCTCCCTGAGCGAGTGCTAACAAATCTTTCAGCCCTGGCCTCATCCCCATGTGGTTGCAAAACTGAGTGGGGACATGAGGGTCTGACCGTTGTGCCGTGAGCCTGCACATCTGGGCAGAGCACCCACCTCTCTGGCAGAGCAGCCCATGCTCCAGGACCTGTGCTGCAGAGAGCAGACCCTGGCCGTGCCGCTGGACAGCCATGCTGAGCTCTCCACCCGCTGCCCCCACCCCTACAACCCTGTCAGCAGCCCCCACAGCCTCCCTCCACCAGCAGGTATGACAGAGGATCATGGCCCTGCAGGTCCCGCAGCACTGGGGACAGGACAGGGGTGCCACACTACCACAGTGGGAACAAACATGGCCACTGGGATCCCATCTCGGCCTGACAAGGAGCAGGCATGTCAGACCTCACAGGGGTAGGGAGGCCTCCTCCTCCTGGGGTCAACAGAAAGCTCCACACCACAGCCTTCGTGCCCCCTATTAAGACTAAAGCAGGCCAGGTGCAGTGGCTCACATCCTTAATCCCGGAGCTTTGGGAGGTCGGCACAGGAGGATCACTCGAGGCCAAGAGTTGATCAGCCTGGGCAAAATAAGACTCCTGTCTCTGCTAAGGTTAGCCGAGTGCGGTGGCCCATCCCTGCAGTCTCAGCTACTCAGGAGGCTGAGGCTCACACCCAGGAGTTGGAGGCTTCAGTGAACTGTGACTGTGCCACTGTATTCCAGCCTGGACAACACAGCAAGACCCTCTCAACAACAACAAAAAAAAAACTAGAGTAGCCCCCATGAAATCTCACTAAAAAAATAAACTGACGGACAATACACCAGGGCCCGCAGCCCCCTGGTCACCGGAAAACACATGGTTTGTGTTAAGTCTCAAGAACTATCACCCACCTGCATCCAGGACGTACCAGAACCCTCTTGTCCTTCCTCCGTTCTGCCTCCCCGACGGGTTGGCTTTTGACTGCCCTGTTGACATGGGATTTCTTCATGAGCTGCTTCAATTCCTGGGTGGTCCCAGTGATTCCAGTTTGTTAGATGAAATTGACAAGCTCTCCATCAGCAAGTGTCCACTGGGCATCTGTTGGGGACCAAGCACTTCTTAGAACCGCAGAAAACACAAAGGAACAGAAGTCCTGCTCAGGAGCCCACAGCCCCATAGGGCAGAGAAACCTGTAGACACACACTGCTGGCAATGAGCCAGAGAACAGTGCTACGAGAAGGGAAAGTCAGGACGTCCTCTGTGGGTTTGTTGACTGAGCTCGACACAGACTAGAAGGGCCGGGGTTGGAATCTTTTTTTGTTTTTCATTTTTTTGAGATAGAGTTTCACTCTCGTTACCTAGGCTGGAGTGCAATGGCATGATCTCTGTTCACCACAACCTCCACCTCCCGAGTTCAAGCAATTCTCTTGCCTCAGCCTCCTGAGTAGCTGGGATTATACGCATGCACCACCACGCCCAGCTAATTTTGTATTTTTAGTAGAGACAGGGTTTCTCCATGTTGGTCAGGCTGGTCTCGAACTCCCGACCTCAGGGGATCCCCCGCCTCAGCCTCCAAAAGTGCTGGGATTACAGGTGTGAGCCACTGCGCTGAGCCTGCTGAGGTTGTGCATTTCTGCTTCCAGGCACAAATCTACCTGCATGTGTGTTCACTTTCTCTGCCTAACAAGGCAGCAGTGCCCAGCGCTCCTGGAAAGCCAGCCTTCCTGCCATCATTTGACGCCCCCCTACCCCAGCAGTGCTCCACTCACCGCCTCACCTCCGGTCATGACTCCCCTGCTTTTGCCCTCTGCTCTACACCAACACGCTTCTTGACAGGTCACCAATGATGTCATGGCAGCAGGCTGCATGGACACCCTAGGGTCCTGTTCCCCAGCTCTCAGCAGCCCTCCCTTTCAACACAGCCCGTTCTCCCAGCTTCTACAGCACCACACACTGCTGACTCTTCTCCCCTCTCCCCGCCATCCTGCTGGTGATGCAGTGCCCAAGCTCAGCCCTCCACCCTTTTCTATGTACTTTCCCCCTAGGTCATATTACCTGGACCCAAGACTTTGTTTTTTCCTTTTTCAAGACAGAGACTCACTCTGTTCCCCAGGCTGGAGTGCAGTGGCGTAATCTTGGCTCACTGCAACCCATGCCTCCTGAGTTCAAGCGATTCTCCTGCCTCAGCCTCCCGAGTAGCTGGGACCACAGGTACATGCCACCATGCCCAGCTAATTTTTTGTATTTTTAGTAGAGACAGGGTTTCACTGTGTTAGCCAGGATGGTCTTGATCTGACCTCATGATCCACCCGCTTCAGCCTCCCAAAGTGCTGGGATTACAGGTGTGAGCAGCTGCACCCAACCCCTACCATAAT